ATTTTTACTGAATATCCACACACAAGCGATGTTCATATCTTTCATAATATTAGTCTATTGTTCTTAAAGATAATTTACTTTTTCAGCTTGTGTAGAAGCAATATTATTGTAAATAAAACTTGTATTCAAACAGTTGTTTAATTTCCTTAAGGGACTGGTTAGGTCTGTATCCTTAAGAAGTCTAGGACTAGTGTGTCTTAGAGGTTTGATTTTCCTTAAGGGACTGATTGGGTCTGTATCCTTAAGAAGTATAAGACTTGTGTGTCTTAGAGGTTGTTAGTCATTTGCGGATGTTGTACCCCAAAATTTTCTCTCTCATTTTATCAAGATTTCCCCTCACAAGACTCTTTGGACTCCAGACAGGATTAGGGTTTGCTCTACTCAAGACATCTCCTTGCACTGTTGACTTGAAATTAGGGTTTGAGTTTGCACAAGGATTTTTGGACTTTCAATGCCTCATGTGACTTTCATACTTCATGTTGGACTCCTAAGATTGCCCATACCAAGTTTTAAGTTTTGAATCAAATTTGTGCCCAGTCAATTGGACAATTGACCTAAAAATCAACTGTATTGGGGAAAAAGTCAGTTATGGCCAATTTACAGTCAAACCTCATAATTTTTTATCCACATCAACATTATAGACTCATATGAACCATTTGATCAAGTTTCGACCATAACTCCTCAAGAAATTTGATCAGATCATCAAAAGGGCAAAATGGTCATTTTTAGAGTTTTGACTGCAGAAGGGCAATTTCTGATTTTTAATCTAGCCAATGTAAAATTGGGTTCAAACATGGTTTCAAGGACTCAATGGCATCATCTTGACCTAATCACAAGGTTCAAAAGATCTCAAATGCATTGGATTGACAAATGAATTTTCCAGTCAACTGATCAAAAATCAACTGTACACTGAAAAGTCAAACTTTGACTTTTTGGTCAAAATCAAGTGCCAAGAGTCATTTTTCATCAAGATGTGTCAAAACATGAAACTTGTTCACCAAGAAACCTAATTTTGAAAATTAGGGTTTAAAGTGGAAAATTTTCATAACTTAGAAATTTTCTAAGTTATGAAAATTTCTTATTTTTTCCCAACTTTTCCTAACTTTTTTACCATGATGCAATTGGATTCAAACAAAACTTCCAACATGAAAGTTTTAGTACTCCATAAAATCTACAACTTTTATTCACAAAGTTTTCCCAAAAGATGCTTGGATCTCAAGTTATGATTTTATGAACAAGGGTACCTGAAACTTTTAACTTAGTGAAATTTTGCCCTAGTTTAGGCAGGATTTTGACCTATCTTCATGGAAATTTTTCACATAGTTCCAAGTGGAATATAAAAATTCATTTCAAAGATGTATTGTAAAGCATGTTACAAGCTTTCCAAAATGTCCAAGAACTCTCCAAGATCATTTGTGGTTAGGGAGAATCGAAGGATTGAAAATGGCAAATCATCACTTTTGTCCAAGGCATTTTGCACATTGCTACACCTTGCAATTCTGTCCAAAGCATGCTTGTACTTGTTTTACATGCCTTAAAACTTTCCACACTCCTTAATTAAATGCAAACACATTGGTTAGAGGCTTTATTATGAGCTTTAGAACATTACACATTGAATTAATCCATTTTTGGCAAAAAGACAACAATACCATTTCCATAAAGCACAACTTTTGCAATTTTGTTTATCTTGAGCATTGGACCAAGCCTTTTGCTGCAAACAAAGTTCCCTAATATCAGGAAAAGCTAACCAACTATGTGAAGCTAGAATACAGGCCTGTACAGGCCTTGGCATTGTCAACTTCAACTTTGGCTTCAAAAACAAGTCATTGTGCAAAAAGTCCATAACTTGGTAATCTGATATAACCAAGTCTGGTGCACATTTCAAACGACTTCAACACATTGTCTAAGGCCAGAAACACGAGCTAGCAAGTTCTCAAACCCTCCAAAACACAAAAACACTAACTTCTTCCCAAAACAGGGCAAGCCCTGCAGAACTCAAGCCATCTTCACATTGCCTCGTGCGTTTTGATACAAACCACTTCAAACAATTTCTAAACAACCCACCTGAACTATCCAAGCCATTGTTCATCAACTGTAACTTCATTTTCAAGCTTCACCATTTTTAAATTCTGAGTTTGCAGGTTGACTTCTACAAGGAGATTCAAGCTATTTCAAAGCAAGCTAAGCATTGGGAAAGGTCAAGGGAACATCAAGCAAGCTTAAAAGAACCTCAGACCTCACTGAAAGTTGTTGCATTTCCATACTCGAGCTTGACTGAAACAGGTAAATTTCAAACTTCTATCTCCTTATTTAGGAATCATTAGGCTTAGGTTTGTGAAGCAAAAATGTAGTCCTCATTGTCCTTGAACTATACATATGCTTAGAATTCATTTATGTTAACTGAGCTAGGAGTATTTGATAGTTGAACTTACTGAAAAAATTAGGTTATAAATTAGGGGCACTGAAATTCTCCCTGGTTTCTTAGAGTTAGATTAAGTTTTTTACATGGTTAGAATCGTGGTTTAAAGCTCTATAATTTTCATGTTATGAGTTTTTGATTTCAAGCAAAGAATAGAGAGAACAGGTTTGAAGTTGCAGGCGCGCGTATTTTGTTCAGAGGTTAGAGATGAAGTGGAATCTGGGCTGGGCCTGGCTTTGGCTGACTATTTGCGCCCCCATGCTTGCTTTCTGCACCCCTTGGCCCATTTGATTTATTTTTGCATATTTTTCTTTTCTATTTTTATTTTTTGACTTTATTATTTTTTCTTGAACATTTAAAATCACAAAAATTATTTTCTTAATTTTTGACATTTTATTATATTTTTATTTTACTTTTATTTGCATAATAAATAATTATTAGGTTAATGTTACTTTATTTTCTTAATTAAAATTTGTAAATAATACAAAAAAAAAATCATATATTTTTATTTTTATTATTTATGCACTTAAATAATATTTTCTCACACATTTCAATTTTTTGACACTTTTGTATATATTTTTGTTTATTTTCTTGTACATACATAAATAATATAATATATATTTTCTTAAAATAAAAATTAGGGTTTCCACCCTTTCAAAAATAATCATTTTTCATTTTCTTATTTTAGAGACATAAATAATTTATTTTTACATACATAAAAATAAATACAAAAAACATTTTTGCATATTTATATTTATTTGCATATTTAAATAATTGTCCATTTATTTATTTTGTACAATAAATTCAATATGGTTGTAATAGTTTTAGGGTTTTTATTTTGAGCAATATCCCTCTATTCAAACTTGTATCCCCCTCTCCATATCAATGTTGTAATAGTCTCAGATTTACTTTTACGCATTTTATCGCTTTAATATGCCATGATAGTAAGATTAGGGTTTTGTATGCAAAGACCAAAATCAAAACAAATAGCATGACTAAATACAAGACAAAAATGCATGAAAAATAACAACACAATGCACACAAGCACCCCTAGGGTTTCATCCACTTGTTGCCTTAAAAATGGCCATGGTATGCATGCTAGGTGTCTTGGAAAAACAAAATCAAAACAAAAGATCATAGTCCCTCGATGACGATATCTTGGTTGCCTATACAAAATGATCTAGCCCCTCAAAAACTTGCTAAAGATACTTGGCACAATTGCTATCATGGTCATACGATGACCCACGCCTGTCCCGTTTAACATCCAAACACAAGGTTGTTTACCAAATACAATGGTAAAACAACAATGTCAAAGGGTTAAAAATGTGTAGGAAAGATCTTTTGAGTAGGGTAGACAACTCCTAGTTACTTGATCATTTGCAAAACATCCTTGCTATTTTCAAAACACACAATTTCAAAATATTTCCCAAAACAAACTTTCAAACATTGAAACATTTTTCAAAAGACAAACACCCTTGTATACATTCAAACAAGAATCATTACAAAGGTTGCCTAAACATAGGCCTCTTTTCAAAATACTTTCAAAACCACACACAAAAGCACCATTTCAAACAATTGAAAAGCAAAAGCAAGTGATCTAAAACAAGTAACTAAGAGCCCATGGAAAACCATGGATGAAAAAGGTGCTAGCACCTTCCCTTTTCATAATCTACCCCCCCGAACCCAAGAAAACATCTCAAAGGTCTTTCCTGTACTTTTGACATTTCCTTTAGATAAAATAAAAAGTCGGTGACGACTCTTGCTAAACCGAAATATTTGCGAACACAAACGCAAAACCTCAAGTCAGTTCTCCCACCGCATCACAGCGGATAACTTGTGCGTTATAATAATCAATTGGATTATTGGATTAAGTCCTCAATTAAGAGAGGCGAAATCACCTTGGCGGGTGGAATAGACTAGCTTGATAGTTTTCACGTGAACTAGTATAAACATACATTGTTCTTTACTTCATGTCCTTAATTATTGTTATTGAAGGTATCTTGTTCTTTAGTTCATGTTCTTAATTATTGTTATTATCAAGAGTGAAGAAAAAAAAGTATTTTAATTAAAGAGAAATATTTTTTAAAAAAAGTTTTGATTTAAAACTCAATTCAAACCTTGACTTTTTTGTGTTTTTCACACCTTCACCTTAGAGGTGATATCATTATATTCTAAATGACTTACATGTGGGTCTTGACTTATGTACGTTCACACTTATCCGAACGAGTCTCACATCCGTTTAGATGTATACATAGAGAGCATATCAAATATAAGTATTTTTTTTAATGAGAGGCGAAAAGAACAAATATCAATCATTAAATTAATAAAATTTTTTTTATTAAAATATTAATATATTTATTACTTTTTCTCTTAATTAATCCAATGATTAATATTTATTTCATCTTTCGTTATAAAACAATCTTATTTTATTATGATTTTTTTTACCCAATGATCTATTATGAGTTAAATAGTACTAGATCTATTTCAAATCATATGCCACTTTGAAATTGGGTGGGATCAACGGCAACACATACAAATCAAATCGGAGAAGAGAAAAGAAGAGAAGAATCCAGCCGAAACAATGAATCCGATGGGCGCAGCAGCAGGGAGGAGGAGCATGTCGACGGTATCCAAAGCCGTCGCTGAAATTGTCGGCGTAGGCAAAACCAAGAACCGAAAAGCTACCAGTGAGCTCTGCACCTTCATGGGCATCCCTCATCACTCTCGTTCCGAAATCGCATCCATTATTTCAAAGTTCATCAAACTCTACAGTTTCAGGGTTTCAGCTCTTCCCTCTTTTTTCCTTTTGTTTCATCAATGCACACCAACTGTTTGATCAATGTTCTCACTCACAAAACATGCCATAGTTTTGAATTTTTATTTACACTTATTCGACAATGGTATGTGGTGCTGTGCAGAGTCCTGGTATTAAGAAAGACAAACTTTGGGAGCAGAATTTGCAAACACTGTTGCGTGGTAGAAACAGTGTTGGTTTTCCTGAGATTGCTAAGATTTTGTCTCCGGAATTCAGCCAGGGTGCGATTAATATCAAGGATACTAATATGGATTCTTCCACGGATAACACTAAAGGGAAAGGCTCACAGAAGAAAGGGAAAAAGAAATAGGAAGTGGAGGCATGTGGTTAGTTTTTTTCTATTCCTAGGTAGGAATCAAGTTAGATTTTGAAAATTTCTTTGTTTTACTTAATATGCAATTCTACATGATAATTTCATGAAAGGATTCCAATGAACAAACTCGAGTTTTTGAATATTTAAACAGGTTTTGCTGTTGTCTTGTGGTCCATTGACAAAATAATACTTATTTTCTCCGTGTTCTGTCCTGTTTACTGATTATCTTTCTACTTGTTAGTTTCATTGAGTGGCTCTAGGGAAGTCCTGTTCTGGAAAAAGAAGGAATTGCATCTTATACATTTCTTCTGACTGCTCCACTGTTTCAGTAAAATTCATGGAGCACTAGAAATTAAGTCACTCAGCTGTAGTTGGGTTCTTAGTTACTTTACGTATTTGCAATTGTCAATTCCATTTATTTATTTTTCCACCATGTCTACTCTAAATTAAAGCTGTATAGTTACTGTTGGGTCTTGGAAGTTATCAGAAGAAGTTACTGATCCTACCAATCAAACCTGAATGAGGTTATGGTTGTTTCGTGTAGCTTAGTCTCTGTCTCTCCCTTGATATCTGTCTCTTCAATTTTTTATCTCTGAAAGTAATAGAATATTAAGGAGGCATAGACATTATTCGTTGTAATTTCAAAGTGGTACCTGCACATTGGTATTTACACGTCCAAATTTGAGAAATATCCAAGTCCAACTATTATTTTTTCTCTCTAAAATCTGCTGTTCTAACTGCTGCAGGCATTGAGAATTCATCTTATACCCATCATCACTCACTATCTTATCAAAGCTTCCCGGAGTCATTATGTTTCATTAAGAAGATTTAGACGTAACTGTATTCGTGCAGTAGTTCTGTTTTAAAGGTTTTTTTATCTTTACAAAATCATATGCTGACATTGCTGTCATGGTTATTTCTATATTATGAAATGCTGCATGATTTGGCTTTGGTATGTGTTCTCTTTTGTGGTTTTAATTTTGGTTTTACTTGAAGCTAGACTGTCTTTGCTATGAGAAAGCAAGGATTACTATTAATGTATTAACGAATAAGACCAATTAGGTTCTCCTGTTAAGTGTTACAAGGTAGCGAGTAGGATTTTTTCACCCAATTCTTTTTATTGGTACTACATTGATGTTTACATTTGCTGTGAGTTTGCTATTTTATCTGACCGTCCTATTTATGTACTTCAGTCCATTTGATAACAATTGACAAGTCTATGAAAACTCAATTCAGACATATTATATTGCATTTGGTCTGCGAGTAAAATTTGGCGATGGAAGAATGAAAACTTGTGCTGTGTGTGTCTCATTCATAATTTGGCAGATAACAATTCCTTTGAATATTAAAAGGAAGTAGATAGAATCCATATGGCATCAAAACCAAGCATTTGCTACACATCATCAAGAACAACAAGGACAACATCTCTGTGTTTAAACCTCACATATGTTGTTAGAATTTCAGTATTAAGTATTATATTTAGAGTTTCATTATTGTCATTTGAATTGGTCAAAAGTTTTAGGAAGTTTGAGTCATTCAAATCAGTTATTATGCAGGTCAGTTATTTTAGGAGTGAGTTCTACAATTAAGGAAAATGGGATAGTGGTAAAGTTGAGTTAGACAATGTATTTAAGCTCTATTGCTTGCAGTGAATAAAGTTGTCAGTTTGCCCCATATCTTGCTCCATTATCAACATTTTGGTATAAGAGCAGGAACGCAAACTGTAACTGAGAGTGACTGCAAACATGGCTGAAAGTAGTAGTTTTGCATAAGTGTGTATTCCAAAATTTGATGGTGACTTTGATCATTAGAGTCTTTTAATGGAAAACCTTCTTCGATCAAAGGAATTTTGGATAGTTAAGTATAGGATACAATGAACCAGCCGTGGGAGTAGCAGTAACTGTCGATCAAGAAAAGGCCCTGAAGGAGTTGAAACTAAAAGATCTCAAAGCAAAGAACTATCCAAGGAGATTTAGGATGCAATGAAGACAAAGTACCAAGGAAGTGGTAGAGTTCAAAAGGCTCAACTTCAGGCTCTTAGAAGGACATTTGAGGTGCTTGAGATGAAGGAAGGAGAAAGTATTACTGAATACTTTAGCAGAATCACGGTGGTTGCTAACTCTATGAGAAACTGTGTTGAAACCTTAACAGACGAAAAGATTGTTGAGAAGATTCTGAGAACGTTGATGACGAAGTTCAACTATGTTGTGTGCTCCATTGAAGAATCAAAGGATATCTCCACTCTATCAATTGATGCTCTTCAGAGTTCTCTGTCGGTCCATGAACAAAAGATTACAAAACTCTCTGCTGGGAATGAGGATCAAGCCTTACAGACAACTCATGAGTTTAGTGGAAGAGGTGGTAGAGGCCGGGGAAGAGGCAGAGGTCGTGGTGGAAGACCTTGAAGAAGGGAAACTGTGGAATGTATCAATTACCACAAACTTGGACACTTCAAGAATGAGTGCCATGAATGGTATAATCAGCAAGCCCATTACTCAGACTATCCTAATATGAAGGAAGATCTCCTTCTCATGGTAGCAGTTAAAGAAACTGCTCAGCAATTTGTTCAACATGGTTTGATAACCAACAAGGAGATGTCAAGTACCGATCCAAGGGAAGGCCGGTGGTTTCTGGACAGTGGTTGTAGTAACCACATGTGTGGTAACAAAGACTGGTTTACAACATTTGATACAATAATTACACGTGATGTCAGTCTTGGCAATAGAACAAAGCTTAAGGTGGAAGGGAAAGGCACCATCAGGCTCAACAATGATCAACAAGTTCTGGTGATTCATGATGTCTTCTTTGTTCCAAGTCTAAGAACAAATTTGTTAAGCATTGGCCAACTACAGGAAAAAGGTCTGGAATTTCTGATCAAGGGTGGTATTTGCAAGGTATTTCATGAGAAAAAAGGGTTATTGTTGCAAATTCACATAAAAACAAACAGGATGTTTGTTCTTCATTCAGACACAGCAAAAATTCAAAAAACTCAATGCCTTCAAACCATTACAAACGGAGAGAATACACCGAGTTTGTGGCATGGAAGATTTGGGCATCTGAACCAGGCTAGTCTTCTAAGCTTGCAAAAAAATGGCATGGTGAAGGGATTACCTCAGCTAAAAGGCTCTCTTGGAATCTGCTCTTCTTGTATGGTTGGAAAACAACGCAGAAAGTCTTTTCCAAAAAGGAGTCAATAGAGAGCAAGTAAGAAGCTGCAACTAATTCATGTTGATCTTTGTGGTCCTATCACACCAACATCAAATGGAGGGAGGAGGTATGTGTTGAGTTTGGTTGATGATTATAGTCGAAAGTTGTGGGTGTAGTTTTTGGTGGCTAAATCTGATACACTAAGCATGCTCAAAATCTTCAAAGTAAAAATTGAGAAAGAATCTGTTAGACCTCTTTAAAGAATATTTATAAGAGGAGAGGGAGAACATAATATGGACAATAGGCAGTTACTTTTTTTTATTAATTGAGTGGTTAGTTGAAAGGGAGAGACCCAAGGCTCTCGAAACTCTTGGTAGGAATCACATGTGTTTTGAGTGACATTTCAATTCTGTAATCCTGCGAGTGTTTGTATTCTCTCTCTGTTTGAGATATTTTCTCTGGAGAATATTCAATAAATCTTTATTCTCATTCAGTAATTATATTCTTGGTACTAGTTTCTATCAACTGGTATCAAAGAAAGTAAGATTCGGGTTAAACAAATGGTATCTACGCGAGGAGATATGGAGGCGAGGCTAGATTCATTAGAGCATGGATTTGAACGGTTACTAAAGATGATGGAGCAGGATAGGGTCGAACGCGCAGAAGAGAGGACTGAACATGTAGAATCAAGGCAAATAATAGACGAGATGATGGAATTCTGGAATAAGGACAAACGTAGCATTCCAGAAGGTTCACACCATAAGGAAAATCATGCTGACAATGAACACAATGTTGTCCAAACGGGTGGTTTTCGTCCCCGTGAAGAAAGATGGCGCAAATTGGAGATCCCAGTTTTCGAAGGAAAAGATGCATATGGTTGGCTGAACAGGGTAGAACGATTCTTTGAATTGAAGGGACTGAATGAAGGAGAAAAGTTACAAGTGGTAATGGTAGCGATGGAGGGGAGGGCACTGGCTTGGTTCCAATGGTGGGAATTCACATGGGCTGATTTCCATACAATTGTTTTAAGACAGTTTCAACCATCCATGATTCAAAGCCCTTTTGTAATGTTGTTGAGTTTGAAGCAAACTGACACTGTAGAAGAATATAGGGAGCAATTTGAATTGTATGCAGGACTTCTCAAATGTACAGAACCATCATATTTGAAAGGGATATTCTTGAATGGACTTAAAGATGTGATACGAATAGAGTTGAAACTTCACCGGTGGAAACATTACCAGAGTTGATGGATTTTGCCTAAAGAATAGATGAACGGAATAGTTAGATGAGCAAAGGGGTGGGAAGTTTTAATTCTGGGAATAGGTCCAATTTCAAAACTTATAATACAAATCATACAGTGACTTGGGAACCAAATAGTAAGATTCCATCACAAGGAAATTCTCCGGGCAGCAATTCCGTAGAGGAGAGTAGGACTAACTCTTTCAAGGGAAAAGGATTTAGAAGATCGACGGATGCGGAAATGCAAGATAAAAGAAACAAAGGACTATGTTTTATGTGCGACGAAAAATTTACTCCAAGCCATAATTTTCGTAATAAACAGTTGCAAGTCTTATTATTGGAGGATGGTGTTAATGAAGAACCCGATGATCTAGAAACCAAAGAAGAAAATGTTGAAATCGAGATGAAAGAATTACAGTTATCAATGTATAGCATTTTGGAATTAACTACCAAGAAATCCATCAAGTTGTGAGGAGCTTTGGGGAACAAACAAGTAGTAGTTTTGATCGATTGTGGAGCATCACACGATTTCATATCTTCCTTATTAGTAAAAGACGGGAGTTTGATTGTGGAAGAAACTCCACCATACTATGTGGAGGTTGGAGATGGAA